TTTTATCGTGAAAGTTTAAATTTGTTTAAACAATTTAGTACTTAATTAATGGATCCAAATCCAAATAAATGGAAATTATTTGCATTTAACTGTGAATGTTAAGCTTAAATGCTTTATTGTGAAGTGGAAATTTCATCTAGTGTCTTGATTTTGTTGTGTAAGTTTTAAATTGTTTAAACAATTTCAAAAATTAAGTTGGTCTCACTGCAAAAAGAAGTATCTTAAAACTTAAAAGTGACTACAAAGTTACTTGAAAGATTTTATATTAAGATGTTTCTGACCTAAACATCTTAATATAAGATGCTTTAAGTAACTTTGTTAGTCTTTTAACTATCTTCAAGTATCTTTAAGACACTTCTTTTTGCATTGCTGAATACAAATAAGTTGTTTTTGTAATAAAAGGAAGAATAATTTGTCCTGGTTCTGAAATTGTGTCTCTGGACAGTGCTTGGTTTTATCATGATAGTCAAAAATTAGAGAAATAATCTAATCAAATTTGGTAAAAAAAATAAACATGTCAGAATGCAAAAGATGCAAGTTTTGCTATAGAGGATGCAAGCAATTGTGGATATATCACAACATTAAATTATACTATAATATTATAACACAATTATAATATTTTAGTAAGTTTTTAATGGATTCTTTTTTTTCAAGAATAGTGGATCCAAGAGAGTTAAATAAAAGTAAAGAGGCAGAGAAGAAATAAATCAACATCTAAAAATAAATATACGTATGTGGAGCCGATAAATCGTGGTATTGGTGACGTTATTAATACTGAAATGGTTCTAATAAGATTGTATTAGTGAACGCCCCCTTTCACACAAGTAACATTATAAAATATACACATGAGTCCAAGTTGTATATACATATATAATATTGTGTGTATCAGTGATCACCATGCACATCGTTCTCTGAACATAATGTCACACATGCTGATTTCTTTGTACGATTGCTATATAGTTGGACCCCGTTCACATTTACACTGGACCATCGTGTTCACGTGAACACGCTCACGATTGCCAAGTGTCCTGTATGTGCATATATATATATAAAGTTGGTACCAATGCTCGTGGGGTATCCCCCGACTCTCTGTTAGAGAGAATATAAGGTGCCTTTGGTCCTCTCTCGCTAGCTTGTCGATGGTTGGATGGTTGTTGGTTGGTTGGTTTAGTTGAACGACCTAGCCCGGATCTTACTCGTACCGATTACCGCTTTCTGTCTCCTTCTTCGGAACATGCTTGTGTTTATAAATACTTTGACCATGCATATTTACTCCAACTTTTGCTGCATACCGCACAACAGACCAAGAGAGAGAGAGAGAGAAAAAGAGAAGGAGAGTATAAAAACTATTCATTACATCTACTTATTATTCTCATCCGTTCCAATCGAGAGTTCTTATATTCTTTTTCAGTTTCCTATGCTTTACGATTTCATAAAACAATTACAGTTATGTTTCACATTTACTTTAATTCAATATCGATTATTACGTAACATTTCGTTGGGGCGCATTTTCAAATAGTCGAGATTTCTTTCTAAGATTAAAATTTATTGTAATTACTATTCAAAACTTCTACTTAAAAAGTGAAATTATTTTTTAATTTTATCATAAGGACAATAGTTTTTCTAAGGATATCAAATTAAGGCAAAAAGCATATCACAATTATTGCGATGCAACGTTTTGATACTATAATGGTATCAACTTGAGAATCTCAAAGGAAATGAGAAAAATTGAGCATATATTTGAAAAATATATATAATTTTTTTTTTTTTTAAATTTTTCCATCATCTTCCAAAAATCGAAAAAAATTTCTTTATAAAAATTGGGCATATAGTTAAATCATTAGATAGTACAAAACGATATGAGGGAAAATTCGAAATTAAAGACCGAATGTATCAAAATTTAGAGAAATGAAAATTAATATATACATTAAAATAATTCAGGGTTTCTACAAGTCATGAAAAACCTGGAAATCGTGAAATTTCTAATCGGATCATGGAATTTTTTTAGTTTTTGTTGTAAACCCGAGTGAATGAAATTCGCGCTCCATTTTTTTACTAGGAAAATATTAATGTTTACGAAAAATAAGTAAAATTTATGAATTTTAATAATTTATAAAAATTATAATTATAACCTTTCCTGAATTTAACTATTTCTACAATTTTTAACTAAACTTCATCTCTGAATCAATTAATTTAAATAATTTTCCAAAAGTTGTTCTAGAATTCAATTATTTAAATACATAAACCGATTTTTTGATTTTTTGATTTTTTATGATAATTCTGACTCTCCATAGTTTTTTCCTAAGTTATTAAAGTATAATATTTTTAAAAAATTATAATAATTTCTTACAATTAATTCTTTTTAAATATTTTAAAATAATTTTTGATCGAAAATAGTTTTTCAATTTTTAAAAATTTCCAAACAATTAAAATTTGGTAAAATCTTTTTAAAATAAATGGATTTTTGAAAAGTATAAATAAAAATGATCAAATTTTTCAAGAATTTTAATTATAAACAAGACCATGATTTCTCAAAAATTTTAATAAGTTCAAAAAGTAAATTTTGAATCTTAAAAAATTATCACAAAAAAATTCTAATAATTAGTTTTTAAAAATATTTTATTAATGTAATTTTTCGAAAATAATTGTATTTCTTAAAAGAATTTTTGAATAATTTTTAAAAAATAATGAATTTTTTGATGAATTTTAATAAAAAATTTTAAACATTATTGTTTTCTCCAAAATGTTAAAAATAATTCTAAAATGGTATTATTTTTGGAAATATGTAATTGAAAATATTAAAAACATTGAATTTTAAAAACTTAAAAGCTTATTTTCATTTTTAAATTTGCCTTTAAAGATTTTCCATTAAAATTTTGGATAATTCAATTATTTTCAAAATTTGCAATTTTAAATTCTTCAAAAGTTAATTTTCAAAAATTGTAACAAAACAATTTTTGCAATATTTGTTTATAGTTACTTTTTACATTATAAAAATCAAAATAAGTTGCACTTCTTTTTACTAAAAATTGGGGTATTTTGTTTCAATGTTTGAAAGAAAAGTCGAAAAAGTCCCTGAGAAAAATATTCTAACAAAACTAAATAAAAAATTTAAACAAATAAAATCTTGGAAAAATAAAATTTCTGTCACATAAAAATTCAAATGAACGGAAGTTTATAAAAATTAAGGTCAAAAAATTTTAAACTACAATTATTTAGATAATTAAACATTCCTAAAAGAAAAATCCTTAAAAGAATTTAATTTCGGGCAAATTACAGACCAAATGCATCAAAATTTAAAGAAACAAAGAAAATTTGACAAATTAAGATCTAATTGAATGAAAATTTCCATTCATAATTTTCGGACAATTCAACATTTAAAAATAAAATTCTTAAGAGAATGAAAATTAGGACATTTAAATACCGAATGCATTAAAATTTAGAAAAACGAAGAATCGAATAAATTAAAATTCAAAAGATAAAAAAAATTAGAAAAATTAAAATTTAACTGTATCAAAATTTGAAAAAACAAAAATTCGAACCAAAAATATTCTAATTAAACTAAATGAAAATTTAAACAAATAAAATCCCGAAAAAATGAAATTTCGGACACTTAAAAATTCTAATTAACTGAAGTTTGGAAAATTAAGTTAAACAAATTTTGAATTACAATTATTTGAACAATTACACATTCCTAAAAGAAAAAATCTTAAAAGAATGAAATTTCGGACAAATTAAAGACCGAATGCTTCAAAAATTAGAGAAATGAAGCTTCGGTTAAATTAACATTCAAAAAATGTATATATTTTTTTTTTTTGAAAAACAGAACTTTGAACAAATAAAATTATGGTCGCATGGAAATTTGGAAACTTGAAAATTCGAGTAAAAGAAAAATTGGAAAAATTAAAATTCCAATGTATCAAATTTCGAAAAAATGAAAATACGAATATATTGCAGTGCAAAAAAATTGTAATCAGAATAAATATAAATTTTGACAAATAAAATTTCGAAAAAATGAAAATTTTGTCAGGAAAAAATTCTAATGAACGGAAAATTAGACAAATTAAATAAGCAAGTGAAAATTTGTAATAAAAATTATTCTGACAATTGAACATTTCTACAAATAAAGTTTTTAAGAGAACGAAAATTTGGGTCCAAAATTAGGCGGACAATTATGAATTTTGTACAAATAAATTTCTATAATCAAACAGAAGTTCGGAATGAACATTTTCGGAGTTCGGACAACAATTCGAACAATAAAAAATTCGTACAAATAAAGTTCATAAGCGAATGAAAATTATTCAAAAAAATTAAACATTAGTTAATCAAAAAATTGCAACAATAACAAAAATTTTCTTCTTAAAAATAATTTTCTTTTTTCAAGCTTAAAAACAAAAAAAAAGTCGATCAAAACCAATTAAAGAAAAAATAGAAATAGATTCGATTTAATTGATTTGTGTAAACAAATCAATTAAAACGAATCTATTTCTACTTTTTTCTTTTAATTTTGTTTTCCAATCAATTACCCCGTCAAGTGTTGTTTGTTTATTGGGGAAAAAACACGTAAATTCCTTTCACTAAAAGTTCAAGAGTCAAAATTAGTTGTATTGAGCGGGAAAATTGCAGTATCGATTGTACAATCGCCGTGGCGCGCAGAGTCACCCTTATTCTCTTTTACGGTTCTTTGTTTCTTGAAAGGTGCTTCAGAATACTGTACTCGAATGAAGTAGGTACTCGGTATTCAGTGACGCAGGTCGCACGCGACCCAAGCAACCAAGTCAAAACATTATGTTTTTTGTCCACGTCTTGACTCGATACAGTGAACGCAGTTACACTGCTAATTACACGCAAAAGAAAAAGGGGGGCACACGGTTATTATTATTTAACCATATACACACAACGGAGAACACTGGGCTTTTTTAAATATAAATCAAAGTATAATTTTACACATTAAAGATAATAAAAAAAGAAAGAAAGAAAGAAAGAAGAAAAAAACTCACCGGTATAGACGGACAAATGTTGTGGTTTCTTTTCGGCTCTCCACCTGAAATCAGACAATGGGATTTCTTTTAATTATTTCTTTTTCAAGAAATATTTTTGCTTTATATAATAAATTTATATAATATTTAACTCAAATTTAGTTGAATTAAAATTAAATTATTACTCTAAATTTTAATTAGTATTAATAGAATACTTAAATGATATTAAAGTGATAACAGTGATAGATATCAAAAATAGCGGATTAAATGTAGAAAAATTAAAAAAAAATTAAAAGTCGGTTCGAAAAATAAATGGTATTTTTAAATTTTCGAAAAGAAAGTTGAGTTTTAAATAAATTTCAGTAAAAGCTCGGTGTTGAAGTTAAAGCTGTTTATGGATTAAAAGCTGGTGGCGCCTGAGACGAGACATGTGGGATGCATGAAGCCTGTCAATTATTCTACAATGTCACTTTTTAAAATAGGATTACGTGATAAGAAAATGAAGTGCGCTACGTAGTTTTCTAATAGAGCTACCCGTTTACCTATTGATTTTCCTCGCCGATAAGAGAAAACGAAATTATCAACATTCATTTATCAATGATCCACTTTAGAGCGATAAAGAAGTGCTCTAAAAAAATTGACTAACGGAAAAATAATTATGATAATTATATATTGTATTTATTTTATTCTGTTAATTGAATTTTATTAATTGCATTAATATATATGTTAATTATGTTTATTAATTAATTAATTATGTTAAATTAATTATGTTAATTACCTTGTTTTAATTATATTAAAATATTATCATGAAATATACTAATTGATACTTAATTAATCATTAAGATACTTGATAATAATCAAGTTGGTACCCCAAGTTTCAAAAATACTAATAAATATCAAATTGATACCCAAGGAAATATTTTATTAGAATTATACAAAATTGGTACAAATGGTAATCAAAGATACTAAAAAATAAAAAAAAAATTGGTACCAAAAGTCATCAAAAACACTAAACACCAAACAAATTCGAACCAAAATGCTTAATAGAATATTATCAGCAACGTATTGGTACCAAAAATTATGAAATTCGTACCAAAAGACATCAAATATACCAATTAGCATCAAATTGGTACCAGAAGACTTCAAAAATATCAATAAATAGCAAATTGATACCCAAAAAAATAAAAAATTCTAGAATTTTACAAAATTAGTGACAAAGATACGAGAAAGTTTCAGAATGGTACAAAAATTATCAAAAGGCATGAAAAATAAAACTCAAAGGCACGAAAAATACCAAAAAAATATTTAATTGCTACCAAAAAGCATCAAAGATTCAAAAATTATTATCAAACTGGTACTGAAAGGCATCAAAGATACTAAAAAGTTAAAAAGTATTAAAAAGCAACAAATTGGTTCCAAAAATTATAAAATTGATACGAAAAGGCATCAGAGATACTAAAAAGTTAAAAAGTATTAAAAAGCAACAAATTATTACCGAAAATTATGTAATTGGTACTAAAAATCATCAAAGTTACTAAAAAGTAACAAATTGGTACTAAAAGTCATCAAAGATACCAAAGATTATTATATTGGTACCAAAAGGTATCAAAGATACCAGAAAGTATCAGATTGGTACCAAAATGATCAAAAAGCTTGAAAAATAAAACACAATGTCATGAAAAATACCAAAAAATATCTAATTGGTACCAAAAGGCATCAAAAATTCAAAAATTATTATCAAACTAGTGCTATAAGGCATCAAGGATACCAGACAAAAAAAAAGTACAAAAAGTATTAACCGAAAATTATAAAATTGGTACCAAAAGGCATCAAAGATACTAGAAAGTAATAAATTGGTACCAAAAGGCATCAAAGATACTAAAAAATAACAAATTGCTGCCAAACAATATCAAACTGATACCTAACAACCTGTTAGTACCAGAAAGCATAAAAGATAACACAAAATATCAAATTGGTACTAAAGGAATTAAAGATACCAGAAAGTCTCATATTGGTACCAATAGGAATTACTGACACTAGAAATTATTATATTGCTACCAAAAAGCATGAAGGGTATCAGAGAGTATCAAATTGATGACGTTAAAGATATTATATAAATTATTAAATTAGGACCAAAGTTCATCAAAATTACTAAAAAAAAATAACAGATTGGTACCAAAAGTTATCAAAAATACTAAAAGCTAAACAAGTTGGTACCATAACATAAAAGAAATATATTTGTTTCATAAAAGAATATAAAGAAAAAATTGGTACCGAAAATTAGAAAATTATTACCCAAATGGTACAAATGGTACCTGAAGCTATACCAGAAAGTAACAAATATACTGAAAAGGAACGAATTACTACCGAAAATCATCAAATTAGTATTAAAATGTATGAAAACAGAAATGTTTGAAAAAAATGATGAAATTCTTAACAGAACGCAATCAAAGATACCAATAAATGAAAAAATTCCAAATGATCCCTATCAATTTCCTCGGGTGTGATTCAACAATGTCGAGAGTGTCAAAAGTGATTACAAATTGTCCTCTACAATCGCTCATTTGTTTCTAGATCACGACTTCAACTCAGAACGAATAGAGCAGCTGCGTCAATCGCATTTGTCGAGAAGTTCCACATAATAGTCTTTAACAATCAAGATCGGTTTGCCCCGCTTCTCTCCTTACAAGCGCGACTTATCACTCCTTTTTTCTTCTCATTTTCCTAAACATCCCTTCTTCCACTAACTTGTTCTTTTTTTCCTCTACTTTTTTTAATTCTTTTTCCTTCTGGCGCGCGTGTCCGATTTCTCCTTCGTCGACGGCATTTCCGTCTTTGTTATTCTCGTCCTCATCATAATCATCGTCATCATTATCATCATCATCATCATCATCATCTCTCTCGTCCGGTTGATTGTATAATTGGGTGGCAGCAACGAGCTCCGTGCGTCACTGCGATGATTTACCCCCTCTCCATCCCCTACCCACCGGTCAACACGGGCTTCGGTCAATCACGTCGTAATTACTTTTAATGCTGGACGATTCGACTGACACAATATCTAACCCGTTCAACGTTTCTCTCTCTCACTCACTCTCTCGTCTTGTCTCGCTAACTGCCCGCGCGCTCTCTGCATACTTCGCACGATCGAATTAATTGGTAATAGACCGCGACGCTCAACCGAATAAATGGCAAATTATTTTCATAATTCATTTATTATCAGGCCGTCAATTTTTTGGCAAAATCAATGCATCTTTTTATTTAATGTTTAGAATTAATACGAACATATCAAATTGGTACCAAAAGGTAATGAAGTGATACCAAAAAGTATCAAATCGAGGAAAAGAATTGCGAACTTGATACCAAAAAGCAACGAATTGATAACAAAAAGTATCAAATCGAGAATAAGAAATATGAACTTGGTACCAAAAAGAATCAAATTGGTACCAAAAAGTAACAAATTGATAAAAAAAAGTATCAAATCCAGAATAAGAATTATGAACTTCGTACCAAAAAGTATCAGATTGGTACCAATAATTATTAAACTGGTACCAAAAGACATCAAAGTTACCAAAAAATAACAAATTACTACAAAAAGGTAAAGAAGACACCAAAAGGAATCAAATCGACAACAAATAGTATGAAGTTTGTACCAAAAAATTTTAAAGTTTTATCAAAAATGATTAAATTGGTGCCGAATGGTATCAAAGATAATTAAAAATAACTAATTAGTGCCAAAAGGTAACAAAAATACCTAAATGAATCAAAGTGACATCAAAATGTATCAAAGATACCATACAGCATCTATTTAATATTAAAAATAAAAAATTGGTACCAAATAATATGAAACCAATACCAAAAAACTTAAATTTGAAAATCAAAAGGCATGAACCATACTAAAAAGTAATGAATTGGTACCGAAAAAATACCAATATGACAAAACTATCAAGTTTTTTGACGAAAGATATCAAAGATAATGAAAGGTAACAAATTGGTACCGAAAGAAATACCAATATGACAAGCATCAAGTTTTTTACCAAAAGGTATTAAACATAATAAATAATAAAAATCTCCATAAATTCTAAAAACTAACAAATTACTCCTGAAACATATCAAATTATTACCAAAATTAAATAATTGGGTACCAACAAAAAAAATGAAGATACTAAAAAATAATAACTTAACACCGAAAAATTATCAAAACAATGTCAAATAATTTGTTATCAACAGGCATAAAAAATACTAACTAGAGGAAAAAGCTATTACCAAAAGCGTCAAAGACACCTAACAGTAACAAATTGGTATCAAAAATTAAGAACTTCATACCAAAAGGCATCAAATGTACCAAAAATTATAAAGTTGGTACCAGAAGGCATCAAAGATACAAATAAGTATCAAATTGTTACCTGAAGGCATAAAAAATATCAATAAATATAAAATTGATAACCAAAGAAAAAAATCTAGAATCTTATCAACAGTAAACAAAAATCTACTAAAAAATAAAAAATTGATACCAAAAGTCATCTAAAATACTAAGCACTAAACAAATTCTTACTAAAATGCAAAAAAGAATATAAGAAACAAATTTGTATACAGTGGCGTAGGAACCGGGGGGGCAAGGGGGGCAGTTGCCCCCTCCCCAGTTATATACATATTACATTGTTAAATATATCTATATATGTAGTTTGCTCCCCCGGAAAATAATTCGTTCCTACGCAGCTGTTTGTATAAAAATTACAAAATTGGTATCCCAAGACATTAGAGATACAAAAAATTGGTTCCAAAGACATAAAAGATGCCAGAAAGTATCAAAAATATTTAAAAACAACTTTTTACCAAAAGGTGTCCAACATACAAAAACTTATCAAATTGTTACCAGAAGGTATCAAAGATTCCAAAAATCATCAAATTGGTACCAAACGGTATCAAAGATAAGAAAAATTATCAAATTTGGTACCAGAAAGAATCAAAGATTCCAAAAATCATCAAATTGGTACCAAACGGTATCAAAGATATGAAAAATTATCAAATTTGGTACCAGAAAGAATCAAAGATTCCAAAAATCATC